GTTAAATACAGCAACCAATGCGAAGGCACCTGGCCCTCTAGCAACCTGGCACATAACGGGTGTCAGTAAACATGAATCTTTATTTGGTTGAATTCTGTTTATCCACTGCTCCCTCGAGCCTATTTTTTAGAGGTCAGATATTGAAGTCTAATTTACATACAGTAACATCCACCCTTTTGAGGGGTGTAGTTCTACAATTTGGCAAACATAGTCATGTAACCACCATCACAATCAAAGTATAGATTTCCAAATAGTTCCCTCATGCCCCTTTGTCCCCCCAAAAGGTTTCTTGTTTATTCTAATATTTATTACTGAGCACTCACTGTATGCCAAGCTCTGGGCTGGGTCTAGATTACAAAAACGAAGATGACGGGTAAATCTGTGTCCTTAGGGGTTTAGAGTCTATCAGATACAAAGGGGCAATAAACAGGCCAACAGAGGTACGGACAAACAAAATCATCATAGAGGCAGTACGTGCTATGCAACAAGCAGGGTTATTTGGCTGCTGGTAGCTGAGGGACATTTCAGTGGAAAGGGCACGTGCTATTGAGATGGTATCTTTGTCATTTAAAATTCACGACAAATTCTACGACTTAAAGCTCTAATTAATTAGTTGATTGATTAATTACATAGGTAGGGAATTTGAGGCTCAGAGAGGCTAAGGAACTTGCTCAAGGTCACACAGCCAATGAATGGGAAAACAGGTCAAAGCTTACGCCAAAAGCTCATGCTTTTTTCATCACGCCACACTGCCTCTCTCCTGGGCCTCGGTCACCTCTGCTGGAACAGGGCAGGAGATGGAGGCGGGGCTGTGAGCTCTGTGTGGCCTGCTGTTCTGTGACCATAACACCATTTTAAAGAGTCCTCTAAACAGCCAAGGGCACTGCAGTGACCTCATTCTCCTGACCTCACGTCCCTCCTCCTCTAATTGAGATGTTAACCTTCCGCTCATTCCCTCCCATCCAGGACACCTGGCATTACAGGATTCTCAAGAAGACAGCTGATCACCCCCTGCACTTCCTATGACCTTCGACCTTGGTCATGAAGACATAAGCCGAGGTTGTGTCAGATGAGCGTGTACTCTTGCAGCCCCCCTCTTCTTTTCTTTCCTCTCTTCATTTCCCTCTCCTCCCGTCTGCTCCCCATCTTTTCCCTCCCCATACCTCCTCTTTCTCCCTCCTGCGTGCTTTGAGACAAAAGGGCCCGTTAATCTTGCTGCCACCACCTCTGCTAAGCTGCGCCCTGGTCCACAGGCACAGGCCTCCCCACCAGGACTGCCTGCGAGCTCCCTGGAAACCAGTGCTAATTGGTAAAGGATCACATTCATTCTTCCACAGCCTGCATGCTCCAAAGGAGGCTCTGCCAAGCCAAGCCAAGGTTTCCACCCTGAGGCATCCGTCACCAGGGAGACCGCTGGGGTTACCTGTCACCCAGTGCTGACATTCAGACCGGCTGTTTCTACCGTGACATGTGGGTTTGGATGATGGGTGAGCACCACTGCCCCCATCACATACACACTCTAGCGCCACAAGCCACAAAGTGCTTGAGAGCGTTTGATTAATGTGCTGCAGGCTTACTTATTTATATAATTTTACATAAAGATCTTACATAAAGAGAGATCTTGCAGCTCGTTTATCCTGAGGGAGTAGATTATATACCTGCTTCCTTTATGCAAGTGCCATGCCCTAGAAAATGTAAGTATCAATAAGATGTCTGCATGTTAAATCACATTTTAATTTGAATGTGGGCAAGGCTTGCAAATTAATGTGCAGCAAATCTTTGAACCTCAGTTTCCTCATAAGAAAAATGGGTTTAATCATTTTGCCCCAGCTAGTTTATGGGGCTACTGAGAGACTCATGGAATGAAATTTTAATTTTTGTGGATGTACTTCGTAAGGTTACTAAGCACTTTATTACATCAAAGTAATGTTATTGTTAAAATGAAGACATAGTTGGCCAAGTAAATTATCACCTCCAAATAGAAAATCTGCGATAATCCAATTCTCATGTACTTGATTGGCTAAGATGAAAATTACAGATATCTTTTCCAAGTCCAGGCAGGCCAGACAGCGTCTCACTAAGCCTTCTGAGACTTGGGGAGCACTTTGTGGTTGCCTCTGACTTGCTATCGGCAGTAAAGAATATCCTGTCCAAGGATGTCTATTAAAACCTTAATTTCAGGACACTGGTTAACCTTGAGACCCCATTCAGCCTTTATCCTCCACTCCCCCTGATCAATCTGAAATAAGAGCATGACAATGAAGGAAAATCCCCAGAGCCTCCTTGGGTGTGGCCCCTTGCATCTTGGAATGTTCTCCGCCCCAAACTCTTGGGAAGTTATAGGGCCAGACAGACATGTGTGGGCAGCTCCCCACCAAGGCAGACGTGGCTTGCTGCATGGAGCTCCTCTCTTTGTGCACAACATTTCGAGACAAAATGGAATGATCGCCACTTGGGAGAGAACTCATTTTATTCAAATAACACCACCAAATAGCAAGATTTATGGCACATATTTCTGGGAAAGCGCTCGACAGCAATCAGATGCCTGTCTGTATTACTGCCCCCTTGGGACAGCCTGCAGGTAGAGTCAAAGCCTAACTATGAATATATGACAAAGGCAATGGAGACTGAGGTTTATAAATTATTTTCTGACGCTGTTTGTGAAGGATGAAACTACAGTTGGTGTGGGTGGCAGCGGACTGCAAGATCAATGGCAAATGTGTCCTCACCAGACATTTCAAAGACCTTGCAACACAGCTTTTCCTCTCGGAAAGAGACCAGTATCAACTCATCCGTCAAGACACTTGAACTCAGTGTCTCTTCTGGGTAAATCATCAGGCTAGGAGATATGAAGGAACCTCCCCCCCCCCAAAAAAAAAATATTTCCAACATAGACCAAAAGCTCTCTTTTTAGTTGGAAAGAGGAGACTTTCTTGTAGATAAAGATAAGGGCCAGAAGAGAGAGAGGAAGAGAAAGAAGCTAACACTATCCAATCTCCTGTTGGGCCTGTGGCACTTAGATTACATCATCCCATCCGATCATCATCATCACAAGGTAACGTCGTCATCCCATTCTATGGATGAGCATACTGAGAACAAAGAGGTGAAGTGACTTGCTCAGGTCCCACAGCTGGTAAGTGGCAAGAAAGTGTTCATTTTTAGGCTGCCTCATTCTGATGGGGCCAGAATCAAAGTGAAGTTTTAAAATTGACCTCCCTATTGATTTTGTCAGGGGCAAGCACCAAATTTTGAAAACCAAATAACATTTGGCCATGCTTCCTCTTACTCAAATCACTCAAGGGGAGAGGGCTACTAACTCTAGCTCTGAAGCTTTAACGTCCCTTTCTGTTGATCAACTATATTTCTCAATAAATCATCGTTCCTGTCCACCCTACAGCCAGATCTCTGTCTCTTCCCTGGCTGAATGTTCCCTTCCCCCACTGACATCTTCCCACATTCATTTAGCTTCTCTCTCTCTCTCCCTCCCCTCACACACACACACCACTTCAGACACACACCTTCCCACCACACACCCATATGCAAAATAAAATTAGAAATACCACCGGAATTTCAAGGTTTTTAGGGAACAGAGATCTTCAATCAATACAGCCCAAACCAGGCTCCTCGCCTCCCGGGCCAGGTTGAGAGGCAGGCAGAGCTTGTGAAAAGGGCGCAGACAGCCATGATCTGACACAAAGCGGCTCTCAAGGAAAAAATGCCACTGTGCTTCCCCGTGAACACCCTGTGGCCACTGGAACTCACAGGGCTACCAGATCCTCAGAGGCCATCACCTGGCAAACGTGTCCAAGCTGAGTTTTTTTGTGTTTGTTTGTTTGTTTTTGCTTATACATAAGGTTTCCTGCCCCCCCCCCCTTTTATTGTAATGTACACTGATAAAATACAGAGAAAACAGTATCTCATGATTCAAAACTATAGGCTGGGCTGCCTCATTTTAAGGGATTGCTCTTGTTTTAATCAACCGGTTGAGAAAGCAAGAAACAATTATTTATTTATTATGTTTGCCTTCACCCAGAGGAGTGGAACAGGGTGAGGGTAAGGGGAGGTGAGACATGACAGCCCGGGAAACTGAAGTAGTCGTGGTGGCTCCAATATGCCTGCAGTGTTTCTAAAGCCTCTGCGTCCCTCACCCCTGCCCCCATTTGACACACCAACTGCACCCACTCTCTTGGTGTCCCTCAGCACCCACCTCAGGATAGTGGAGTCGGGAGGGGAAGGAATGGGAACAGGGAGATGGGACAGGATGCTGGGCAGATGCTCCTGGTTCAAGTTCTGTTGTCCCCCCTTCTCCCAAATGAGACCCCCCTCCCCGGGTCTCAGAGTGACGTTGGGGTGTGTAGAGGCAGAGAGAGGGTGCATTCGTTCAAATCCAGGCTCTGCCACTTACCTGCTGTGTGGCTCTGGGCATGTGGCTTAGCATCTCTGTGTCTCAACCTCCTCATCCACACAGTGGGGAACATTGAGCTTCTGCTGAGGTTAACAAAGCTGCTTTATGCTAAAAGCTTAGCACAGTGCCTGGTTCTAGAGCCCAGTAAATAGTGACACTAACTAGGCACTGATGCTCAACTAGTGCTTACCATGGGCAGGCCCTGTTTAAGGGCTTTGCGTATATTGTCATAGAATCCTCACATCTCCGTTTTACAGATGAGGAAGTGGAATCTGACGATCACACAGTAGTGATGGTGGCTGTTCAGACCCAGGGGGACAGGCTCCAGAGTCGGGGTCTCAACCCCTCTGTGACAATGACGCTGGTCTTTATGGGTGTTGCCCCTGGCAGGCTGAATTCTAAAACCCACAGGCTCCTCTCTGTCCCAGAGTGGAGAGCAGGGAGGGTTGTCAGCCACAGCGGAAAGGCAAGAGCAGATGATGGTGAGAGCATCCACATCAGGGCTGAATCCAGATCCCAGTTGTAACCGGTGGCTGAAGTCAGGCAGGGCGCCCCAGCCCACTGCAAGGGAACCAGGGGAGGGGTGGGGGGCAAGTCCCCGATGCTGAGAGGGGTGGTCAGGGAGCCGCCCCCAGAAGGGGAAGAGGGGGTTGCAGGACTGGGGGTACTCAGCTGCCATCCCCGCCGCTTCCTGGCCCCCACTCGCTGGCGCCCAAGTGGGAGGACCGCAGCTGCCCGCTGCCTCCTCCCCACACCCCCGCTACCTGCCCAGTCCCCGAAGCGAATCGTGAGAAGGCTGCGAGCCAGCGGGGCCGAGCCCACAAGTTTGCAGCCTCGGAGAGGACGAGAGCCGGCGTCCAGGGCTCCTCTTATCGGCGACCGGAGCTCGGTGAGTTCATTCCTCACCCCTCTGCGGCG